CCCGGCTGGTTCGAGGAGTAATGGTAGTTCGAACTAGGAAGCCTAGTTCGAACTACCTAGTTCGTGCCCCGTGTAGCCACGCTGCACGGGGTTCGAATGAGCGGGGTTTTAAAAATGGCGACGCCCCGCTTATGCAAATGAAGCCCGGGAAATTCAAATCCCGGGCTTCATTTGCAATTGCAGTATGCCTACATTACCCCACTAGTTCGAACTAGCGGGGTAGTGTAGACATACCCCTAGAGATTGGAGCTGGAGTAGCTGCTTTTGGTTGGCAGGACTGCCTAACCAGCATGGGTATATGGGAGATGGCTGTGGTCTCCTGTCCAGGCTGGACTGAGCCCCTTCTGTTTAATACACTTGAATCCTTCCTTTCAGGGACACAGTTGAGAGAGTCTCCCATGAACAGGGACACCACCCAAACCCAAGTCATTCCAAGCCTCACCTCCACCTGGGAACCCTCCTGGAAGGGGAAGGCTGACTCCCTCTGCTCTGCACCCCACTCTCCTTTGTCCTTGGAGTTGCATACGATGGTCCTCACATCCCCATGAACATCAAAACGTGCGTTGAAGTGCAACACGATGCTGGATGGGTCCTTCCCTAAGTTCAGCACGAAGCTGAAAGAGAAGAAATGAGTGTGACACGGGCAGCCTTCCGCATAGCGTCCTAGACCATGGCAGCACCATATGCTCTTACTTCTAGGGCCTGTGGTTTTAGTCACTTCAATATGACCAGCTCCAGAGTTTGTATAGCAGCCCTAAGCCCTCAAGAAAGCCCTGGGGTTCTGCAGGAGGAACTGGGGAGTCAATAGAAGGTGTTCTTTCCTCTGCAACAAGGTGCTTCCTTTTGGCTAGTGACAGACGCACTGGTTACTTGGATCCACAGCAATTTTTAGAAGAGGAGAAGTAGCCCTGACTAGCTTGGAGAGTTGCATTCGGCACCATGAAGTCCGCCTGGGGTTTCAACTGGGTGCTACATTCTTCCCTTCTTGTCCTAATCAGTTACTTGTTGCTGCCACCTTCCACCTGAGGCGGTTGAAACAATTAACAAGTCAGTAATAAGCACCTCTCATCCCAGGAGATCTTCCAGAGGAAGAGCTGTTCCACCTTACAATGCCCGCCCTCCCTCGCGGCCCCGCAGTCACGAGGACAAGAACGTACTGTGTTAGGACAGGAGGCCCAGAAGGCTGTGCACTGATGCTATCATATTTAATAGGGAGTGGGAAGAGTTGGGGCATGTTGCTCCCTTGACATGCAGGTCTGTTCCCAGCACAGGAGCCAAACTCCCCTCCCACAAGGCAGGAAACCCCCGCAGTGCCAACCACACACAAAGGGGACCCAGCCTCGCTAGGTTTTGGTGGCCAGATGTGCTGAAGGGATGAGAGGTCCTCAGGGAGTCTGTCCCCACAGCAGAGAGTCTCAGAGCCTGGGTCTAGTGACTGGGCTCATGCTACGGTGCTAAGAGACAGCCGTGTAGATAGTCTAGCTTGGGCTAGAGCTCAAGCTCTGAAGCCTGGGGAAGGGAGTGGGTTTCCTAAGCATTAAGCACAAGCCCGAGCATGGAGATCCAGCCTCTGAGACTTACCACTGCAATGTTTATGGGGAGGGGGGTTATTTTGCTATGTAGAGACCCCATGGGCAGGTCCAGGCACCAACTCTACCATGACTACGTCTGCCCGTGGCAGATCCATTGATTCTCCTCCAGCCAAAAGCCCCTCTGCACTACAGGGGACGTGGCCACTACCAGAGAAGGGACTGGTGGACTTAGCATCTGGTTCTACTTATCTGTTGGCAGGAGCACAGGGGGGAAGTGACTCACTGCAAAGTACTTTCTCAGACATTAACCCTTTCAAGGGCACTCCCCTCTCCTCCAGCAAGGGGAAATCCTTCTCTCCACACACCGTCAGGAAGGTCCTGCCATGTTCCCTACAATCCTCTCCACATACCCTCCCCTGCCCTGGCATGACTTACCTCTTGGCACCTGCAGAGATTTCACCCTTCACACCAACGCGCTTTCCGGCCTTGAGACCTATATTGGTACAAACTAGTCCCTGAGGAATCCAGAGACAGACATGTTAGCCTCAGGGGTTCGGCTCCGTGAGCTGTTCCCCTCCAGCGCCCCACCCAGGCTGCGGCAGGAAATGTGGCAGAGATGCGGGAGTGAGAGACTCAGATTTTTGCGGGGAGGGGGTCAAGCGCTGCTAGGTGGGGATGGGGGAAGGTGCTGACACATCACTTCAGGCCGTGAGACCGAACCTACTGCCACGTACACCTGAGGAGGAGTGCAAAAGACTGTGCCCCAAAGGAGTGACCTAGAATGGATGGGGCAGTCACTACTCCCCCACATAGCAACTGTTCCCCTACCGAAACTAATTTATTCTACGTGGGGAAATCTTACTCCACCCGGCTTCCTTCTATCACCATGAATGAGTCCTAAATTGCTCCTGAAATCTAAGCCAGCCTTCATGCCCCAGACGCAAGACAGCCCCAGCCACGCCCAGCATCTTCATGTACAGCCCCGCTGCCTTGGAGCAGAAGCTCCTTTGGTTTGATATAAGCAGAGTCCTGCCTGAGGCTTTTGCCCCCAGGAGAGCTACTCTGAAGTGTGCGTTTGTACGGGGAAGTTGTCTATATGGTGGCGTCTGCATACCCCAAGTGATTCCAAAGATATTGACAGGCGCCTCGTTGCAGCCTGAGTTAGGACTGAGGGAGCACATGTAACTAAACTCATTTTGCAGGCTGCTTCCCGCAAGGGCTCTACCTGAGGTAACTGCCGACTGAGCTGGCTCTGCTTTGTGGTCAGAACCCCTCTGCCACACCCAGTTTCCCAGTGCTCCCAGATCAGCAACTTTTTACCAGCCTACGGCTTCTTAGAACTGCCCTTCCTCCTCGGACCACTAGGGAAGCAGGCGGAAGAAGACCAGAGCCTCAGCAGAAGAGTTATGTCCAGTGTTCCCTCTAATTTTTACCATCCACATGCGCGATAAATTTTCTTACATGCACCAAGGCACATGCAGATGTGCACCACCAGTAGAAACACATGCTGCTGGCTGTGGGTGCTCTGCTAATTAGCTGGGCAGCACCTGAATCTCTTCTTGGTGGCCGCCTAAGTGCTCAGATGACAGAGAGCACTGGTCATTGCCACACCCTTTCCAGAACCCCATCTTCCAGCTGTGCCACAGGGTTCAGACTAGGACTGGGAGGAGCTTTCACCAGGGCTTAGACGTTTTACCCGCTCCCTGGCCTCCTACCCATGGACTCATTTTGTAACTTCCAGCATCCTCAGGCAGCGACCCACCCATGCACCCCTCTTTGTCCCCAGCAGGCAAGGAGCACGCACCACCAACTAGCTGGAACAGAATCCTAGAGCATAATCTATGCATGTAGGCTGCACCAGCTAAAGCCATTCTCCTTCCATCACTCCAGGGAAGAGGAGAGAGAGTGGATGGGTGGGTATCTCCTCGTCATCCCACCCCACACCCCAGTACAACTGGTAGGAGAGGGGAAGAACAGTAAGTGCAGCAGCCCATTGGTATTAACACCTTTAAGCCGCTTCCTTTCAGCCACTCCCAGCCGCAACTCCACCGCACTGGTCCCTTCTCCCTCAATAGGTTAAAAATCAAACTTTCTGAAAGCTGCTTCAAGCCACAAGGAAGTAGCAAGGCCAGCTATTCTGGGCACAGATGTTCAGAAAGAGCCAGCTGTGGATGGCAAGGGGAAGGTTGCTAAAGGAAGAGTCATTTTGGCATTGAAGCAATTACAAACTATTCTCCCCCCCCACACACACACAAAATACCCACCCCGAAACCCAGGGGGCTTTCCCCTTGAGAAGAGCAGGGGGAGACAGACCCCACTGCTCTCAGATGAGATCAGATCTCATAAAACCTCACTACCCACCCTCCTCTAGAATGACAGGACATTAAAAGGGGACAGCACATCCCACTTCACAAAACACAGCCACCACCCTTGTAGGGCAGCACAGACAACCCCCAGCAAAGCCAAGCCCTCCTCGCCTGACTCCCTCCAGTTGCCAGCAGCCATCACTATGCAAGACTCCACTGATTTCACCAGGCAGCCAACACCCCACACACAAGCCTCCCCCTTCACTCACACAAGACATGATGCTGCTCCTCTTCTAACTCTCTCTCCAGCTGCTGAGATCAGACAGACAGATGTGGGCAGGGAGCTGTGGCTCGCATGCCTTTAAATGGGCAGCTGATGAGTCACCCCCTTTTTCAGCCAATCAGGGGCTGGACTTTTGAAGATAGCTCACACTCTCCAAAAAAACTAGGAGGGCAGAGCTTTCTCTGCAGTCCCTGGATGCTAAACTCCACCTTTCCCAAGCAGCCAGCCACTCACTGGAGTTGAGTCAGATCCAGATCCAGTGGTTGCAGAACCAGTGGAAAATAGTTTTAGGATGAGACAAAGATCCAAGATTTTTAAACAAAAAATCCCAGCTGTTCAATGGAATAAGAATTGGTATGGCAGGGCTAGACCCTTCATTCCAGATAGCCAATGCAGTGCATGGGTGTGACGGACCGGGCCATGTCTGGGCACAGCCGAGGGCGCCTGCTCAGGGTGAATTGCTCATATCCGGGGCTCCTTACAGCCCCCAGACTAGTGACCTCTCCAAACAGGCCACAAACCAGTCCCATAGAACGCTTCAGCTGCCTGCCTAAAGCCTCACGAGCAAAACCCCTCTGACACCCCAGCAACATCCGTGCCCCTGATGGCCCCGGGCCTCATACACAGGTGGGGGGTCCTAGCACCCAATCCTACCTACCCCGAACAAGTTCTGTCCGGTTCCAAGAAACCAGCCACAGATCCCTGGTCAATTTACCCTCTGGACCTTACCCACAAATCACGCTGGGCCAATCCTTTAGCATCTAACAACTAAAGGTTTATTACCACAAGAAAGAAAAGCATGAGAGTAAGGTTGTTAAAGGAATAGTACATTACATGCATCGAATCTCCCAGTTCTCGATGCAGGCTCTAGCAGAGATGTTACAGCTGCTGGTTTAAAAGTCCTTGTTGCACATCCTAGGATCAGGATGGGTCCACAGTTCTTTCTGGCTCTTCAATCCCTGCATTGCTGCCTCTGGGATGAAGTGCTGAGCTGAAGAACAAGATGGCGTTGACCACATGGCCTCTTTATACATCCTTCCTGGCCTCTTCTTGGCTGCAGCAGGTCACCTGGCCAGCAGCCAATCTCTGTGTTCCCTGCTGGCAGCCCTCAGGTGTCAGCCCTCATTCTTTAGGTTTGTCCTTGGCCCATAGAGTCCCATTGTCCCACAGGGCCTCGCTAATTAGCATGTCCATAGGCCGGGCTCTGCCCAATGCTCGACCACATGCAGGGAAATATTCAGTATCCATACAAAGTATATGCTTATAATTTCACACACAAACATTATACAATCACATGAACAGCATACACAGGATTAGCAGACAGTGAGCTTCTATTCAACACCCCACATGGCCCCCTTTTATACCATTTCTGGGGCCAACACCCCCACCTGTGGGTGCGGCAGTGATCTGGCTGCTTCCCTCAAATTCAGTAACGTGACAATGGGGTATTAGAAGTAGCCCACTCAAAGTGAAATGGGAGCATCTCTGCCTGTTCATAGAAGATTGGGGCAGGATCCACGGGAGCCAACCTCCATTCTCAGCTCCTGACACTGTAGCCAGCAGTGCACACCCCACTGCTGGCCAGCTCGCCACCTGCTACATCCCAGATCCATGGAGCTGCCTGTCGAGCTGCGCAGGACAGAGAGGTGTAACAGCTGGGAGGCAAGTGACTCCATCTCATTTGTCTTCCTCGCACATGCCCACAGCCCTTCTGGGGAGAGGGGGGCAAAGCTTTCTGCTTGTGGAGATCTGTCCTGAATTCAGATCCACCCCTGGGTAGCCGGGCAGGGGAGCATTGTGCCCAGTCAGTCCCAATGGACCATACCCATGAGTTCTGTACGTTACTTACCACATCGTGTTTGGTCCATGTGAGGGTGATTCATTGTGGAGAGAAAGGGCTGCTCTGGAAAAAGTTGCTTCATTGTAAAACGGCTCGACTATAATTAAATCTGAAGAACAGAGAGAATCCCTTGTCTTTTTTTGTTTCTCAATCACAAGGCAGGCTCAGGCTCCTCCCCACATCCCACAACTGAAATGCGCCCACGTGCTCTCTGAGGGGCCCTCCATGCCCTCATGTACTGTGTAGGCTCCATGATGGCTCCCATCCCCAGCACAAGGATAAAATATCATTTGCTTCCTTGGGTAGTGCCCTCAGGACTGAGGCTCCGCAACACAGCTGGGAGGGAGAACTCAGCACTTCCCAGGGGCAGGGGGCTGATTTGTGTCTCATTTTCACCGCAACTCAAAAGCCTCCCTTTCCACATGGAAAAGGCAGGGCCCCACTGCTCAACAGCTGGACTGTGCACTGCTCTGTCCTGGAAGGGGCACGGCAGGGCTGCTGGAGGGAAGCAGCTGCTGCACAAGAACTAGCTGCACACAGGTTGCTGGACATTAGATTCATTGCGTGTGCCTCCCACCGCCACCTAGTCGAGCAGAAGGGGCTGCAGGCCAGGAAGCGGGTGCGTGGGCAGAGCTGTGGCACGGTGCAGGGCAAGACTGCTGCAGCAGGAAGTATTGTAGTGTAGGAGAGAGGCACCTGGGTAGAGGGGTGGGGCTGCTGCAAGTCAGGGCAGCAGTGCACTGGCTGAGATCTGCACAGGTGTGGGTGCTGGGAAGGGAAGGGGGGCATCAGATATGCTGCAGGGAGAGAGAAGACCCCCTCCCCCCCCCAACCCTGAAAGAATCAGCTATTCCTGGGCCACAAGGCTGGGAATGCTGTTGCCTTTCTCATTCAGTACCCCTCCACACCCCTTCCCCACAGCCTTGCCCAGTCAAACAGCAGAACCTTCAGCAGATGCCTGTGATAAAAGTCAGGCTCTGGCTGCATCTCCGGGCCTGGGGTGACTCATCCGAAAATGACTGTCCATAGAAATTGAATTACCATCTGCAGGAGAGCCGGCTTGACTCTGCGCCCGGATACAATTAGCCAGACTCAATAATAGAAGCAGTGTTCAGAGCGAATCAAAGGGAGAGGGGCCTTGTTTCCCCAGCGTGGCTGGGCAGAGAATGGGCCTGATTCAGTGAGGCTGCACAAGCCTGACCCGCCACACATGCATTGCCATAGTGTCAGCAAAAGACAGGCCTGCCTAGTAATGGCCTCTGGCTCCAGGGTGCCACCCCCGCTCTGGCCTGGCAGGACCAGTGTGTTTGGGAGAGCGGAAGGAAAGGAAAGAGGAGAGGGTGAGCCGTCCCCTTCCTAGTCAGCCCTGGGACGAGAGTCCTTCCCACCCCCAAGGCAGAGTTGATGGCAAGGACGTGCTCTTGAAAATGCCTCTCTCCTGGGATGTGCCACTTCCCAGGGGCAGGGGGCTGATTTGTGTCTCATTTTCATGGCGACTCAAAAGCCTCCCTTTCCACATGGAAATGTCAAGACCCTGCTGCTCAACAGCTGGACTGTGCACTGCTCTATCCTGGGAGGGGCACGGCAGGGCTGCTGGAGGGAGGCAGCGGCTGCACAAGAACTAGCTGCACACAGGTTCCTGGACATTGGATACCTCGTGTGTGTCTCCCACCCCTCCCCACTGCCACCTAGTCAGCCCCATTTAGTTAACCAACGTTCCAGCCGTGCCCATTTGCTTATTCTTGGAAGGGCTATGTGGTTTTACCTCTCTCGCCTACCCCCATGTGGGTCCCGCCCTGTGGCCAGAAGAGCTGCATGCCACCCTCTTTCCATCTGCCCAAGGGAGGGTGTTACCTCGTGTGTGTCTCCCACCCCTCCCCACTGCCACCTAGTCAGCCCCATTTAGTTAACCAACGTTCCAGCCGTGCCCATTTGCTTATTCTTGGAAGGGCTATGTGGTTTTACCTCTCTCGCCTACCCCCATGTGGGTCCCGCCCTGTGGCCAGAAGAGCTGCATGCCACCCTCTTTCCATCTGCCCAAGGGAGGGTGTTCCTGGAAAGTGATGACACTCCCCATCTGCCTCCACAGCAGCCCCTAGCCCAGAAGAACAGCGTGGGGCCCTTCACTCCCTTTGGGGTGGGCTGCATATGGAAAGGAGCTGAACATCCATCTGCCCAGCTGTTGTCACAATCATCTCCCACTGTCCTGTAAAACACCCTGGCTGTGTCTAGACTGGCCATTTTTTCCAGAAAAACTTGCCAGCTGTCTACACTGGCCGCTTGAATTTCCACAAAGCACTGACTTCCTACTGTAAGAAATCAGTGCTTCTTGCGCAAATACTATGCTGCTCCCGTTCAGGCAAAAGACCCTTTTGCACAAAATTTTTCTGCAAAAGGGCCAGTGTAGACAGCAGAGATTTGTTTTCCGCAAAAAAGCCCCGATCGCAAAAATGGCGATCGGGGCTTTTTTGCGGAAAAGCGCGTCTAGATTGGCCACGGACGCTTTTCTACAAAAAGTGCTTTTGCGGAAAAGCGTCCGTGCCAATCTAGACACGCTTTTCTGAAAATGCTTTTAATGGAAAACTTTTCTGTTAAAAGCATTTCCGGAAAATCATGCCAGTGTAGACGTAGCCCCTGCTTCTTCCTCAGCAACGGCACATCCTCAGCACATGGGAGAGACAACTCGGCACTTGGGAGAGACCAGCAGGGAAGGCTGCCTACCTCTCAGGCAGCTGTGTTCCCTAAGCGCTGGGCAAACCCATACCAAGCCTGCCTTCTCCGGAGTCTACAGCCAACTCCACCTTTGTCAAAGGTACTGCCGAGTGCCAGCATAAGCAGGGCCAGTGCAATCTTAGCCCACCCTCCACCATGCTCTTCAGCCTGGCTGCGAAGGAACCATCTTTTGGGATGAGCAGGGAGTTCCTGCTCCAGTCTGCCCTGGGCTTTGGAGGTAGGAACGTTCATGAGGGGGCCAGGTAGCACCAACCAATGGACACGTCTCCCTAGAACATGAACACTGCAGCTCATTCCTGTCCTGACAGCAGC